TGGAGTGGTATTTAAGTCACAATATGTTAATCCATAATCCATGTAATAACATGAATTTTGTTAGGATGTTCGATTGATTTTATCAAATTACTTTCTATCATATTAGCTTTCATTATTGATATTAACCTACGTGCAACTTTTATATTTTTTAACCTAAAAATTAATTAATTAATGAAAACTATATAAACACATATTCTTTAAGTGGCCTTTCATTCAGTTATATGCTTGCCAGAAAAAAATTATCCAGTAGATAAGATGTTAGCTATATAACCCATCTGAGACCGAGCTAACATTAATAGCATACATAACATATGCCTCCTTAAATGCATCGTAAGCTCAACAACATTATTGTTTAAAAAAGTAAGATCGTTTCTTCTTGATATTGAACTTTTTCTCTACATCTAAAAAATATGACTAAAACCTAAAAAACAAGAAAATAAATAATAAAGTATATTCAATTTAATTCTTAATATATAGTTTATGAGTTTTTTTATTATTGCATCTATTTATTTTTAACAAAATTTTAGCAACACCTCTTTTATTGAAAATGTTTAACAAATTCTAAAAATCACATTCTCACTCCAAATCATCACTCACTTTAAATTCATAAACAAAAAAGTAATGATAACATAAAAATTATACATCCATGATCTAAATCCCATGATTGGTTTTAATTTCTTCAAATTACTTTTTAATCATGTTATTTCTACATAAAATCACTAAGAATAACTCAAGCCACCATTTTCATATTCAAATTACAAACACAAAATTTAGAAATTTTTATTTCCCCATGAAAACTTAAACAAAATAATGAAATTAATTACAAATAAACATGAATATAGTACTTAAAACATGCATTAGATGTTAAACAAACAAGAAAAAACCAACAAATTCAAGCATATCTATATTCAATTTACAAACCTTAACAAACCTAAAATTTAGGGATTTTTATTTCACCTACAAAAACTTGAGTGCAATAATGAAATTAATTGCAAATAAGCATTAATATAGTACCTTAAAACATGTTGGTCGGTAGTCCGAACCACTAAAATATAATTCTAACTAACTATCACAAAAAAATAATTTGTAGTATGATCGTGAAAATTAGGTCGAATCCAAAATTTTTTTTGTTTAATCTTCTTATAATATACTAAAATGAGAAAGAATAGGGGATTTAAATGAGAAATTCAAGAAATAAAAATTCTAAAAGTAATAAATTGACATGTCATTAAATCAATTCAAGGGTCCACATATCTATTTCTATAAATCTATTAATTATCGAAGTAATAAAATATTCTTTCACGTCAAGAAAATAAATTTGATATCCTTTAAAGTTAAGAAAAATCAATGAGATTATAAGTATATTAATTAGAAAAACTCTCTAATCAATTTCTTACCATCAAACAAATATATTATTGAACTTTTTTTTTTAAGATGTATCATCACAACATCTAATTAGTTGAATTTTTTATTTTTACACTTCAAATATGAATATCTAATTTCACCTCCATTAATATCCTTTTGATTTGAAAGTATAAAATAAATAAAACCTTCAATCTCTTTAAAATGATATTTCCTAAACAATCCTTACGGTAAATCTTGAAACATCTAAAAATAATCATTTATTACTTATGAAATCTATATAGAATATTGATAACAATAATTATTAATAATATAATTATCAATTCAAAAATTCAACTTTGACAATTAAAAATGAATTCACAATCCAATAATCAATTATTATTTGTATAAAAATTCAATGTTTTGTCAAAATATAAACTAAATAAATTGAATTAACATACAAGTCATACTTTAATACAACAAAAATCTCTATGAAAAAGTTTTAAAAGACTTGCTTATACAAGCAAACTACAAATACTGGAAAACAATATCAATAAATTAACCTAAAAGATAAATACATATATTTGTTTACTTGGTGTATAAAATATTTTGAAAACAAACAACCAAGATAATGATGTTTTGGCACTACTGAGTATTGAGGTGACTAAATTTGAAAAGAGAAGGCTTTGATTTGTGGAAAAATAAAAAGAGAAAGAGAAAGAAAAAGGGATGTGGCTGTTATAGATTATGACACTTAAATATTTACCGACAGAATTAACGATGAAAATTAGCGATTGAATAATTCTCTTGGTAATTTTTTAGTAAATAATGATGTGTCATATTACCGAGGAATTGTCGATATAATATTTCTTGTTTTTTAATTATTTTTATTATATTGTTAATTTAATTGATAATGTTTTACATACCATATTATTTCACTGATAACATTGGTAATGTCCAACAGATATTTTCTGTTACTATTGTCATCGGACATTATCAAAAAAATATTTTTCATTGGTAATTTTAAATAGTGTACATCTAAGATTTTAAAGGGAGTTAATCATTTTTTTTTTAAAAAAAAAAGCTTAACTACTACAATGATTATTAGAAATGGTCTTTTGCAATCATTAGATATAATAATAGAGGAGCATGAAGGCTAAAGGCACACCCTTTATCTTCGACTCTATCTTCATTTAAGGCTCTTAATCTTTATATTTCTTTTTATTTATATTGAAAGAAGCTTTCAATTCTCTATTCCTACCTCTATAATATCTATCAAAGGTTGACCTTTGATGAATATCCATGTGATTTCTTTAATGATTAATTTTCATTTAATAAAGTAAATGGGATATGAAAAATTAAAATGTTTTATATGTATCAAGCGATGTTAATTAGGATAATATAAGAAAAAAACACATGTAAATTATCTTAGATATAAATTGAAAAAATTGAAAATATAATAAATTACAAAATTATCATTATTTTGCAATTAGTACCAAATGCACTTCTATCAAGTGGAAATAAAACATATCTATGAACTAGTTACATAAGAACCATATAAAGCTAGTAAATGTTAGATATAATAGAATGCTTGCTTAACTTAGAGAGTGATGGATATAGTTTTAGTTGATGTGAAAGCTAATCCTAATTCAAAAACTAAGCTTATGAACAACATGATGTAATGGTTGATTAAAAATTATGCTTATATATATATATATAAATAACTTTTATAACCCAAAAATGATTGGGATATATCTTAATTTTTTATATACAATAGATGATTATTGTCTATCTATCTTGTATTGAGCATGCCCACAAATCTTGAATTAGGTTAAATTTTTATTTTTATCGTAATACAACATGCATAAATCTGGGTATATATTATTTTTTTAATATTCTAGGCTAAGGGGTTTCATCATAGATTTTATAACATAAAAGTTCTTTTTCAAACTATTCCTTTTAAGTAAAATGTTTTTTACTTATTCGATGATACTATTATGACCAACTTTACTCAACTTATAGTTTAAGCTTTATGATAAATACTCATTTAATGGCTGATAATTTACTATAATTTATGCATCCATCCTACAATAGCTTATTGAAATATTTTAAAAGTTCAAAAAACCTAACTGCTTCTACATTTGGTTTTTTATATACACATGAACCTTCACTTAAATAACCATTATTCATTCTTATCACATACATCATCATACCCATATAATAATAATTATTATTATCATATATAACTTCATGTATGTTGCTTGAACAAGATGTTGAGTCAATCATCTTTTCTAATATAATTTTATAAAAAACATAGGATTCTTCAAATCATTTCAAGTATTTCTTTATAGACCTTTTTTTCTAGAAGATGCATCAACATAACTTTTGTTTGGTGGAATTTTTTATTTTTATACTTTACACACATTTAATTTTACCTTTACTAATATTCTTTTTATTTATACAAAATAAATAATAATAATAATAATAATAAAAGATGGTGCTCGTGAATGAATTGAACATGGTGGTGGGTATGGACCGGATGCCATTAATTGTGGGAAGGAACTCAAAATTAATGTCTTCAGTGAGAATGGAGAGAAGGAATTTCTTCAGTTTTATGGTGGTTTTTTCTTGTTTGAGGTGGATCCATATTTTTTTTGTTGCTGAATAGTGTTCCCCTGACTGCCTATCACATTTTAATTTTTCAGTGCTGGGAATTTTTCTGTTGCATTAAAATCTTGCGTACTACATCCACATTTTCATGGGAATGTCGGCAACGTGACCTTGCTTTATCCTCTTATCTTCCTCCCCCTGTAATGACTGGTAGAAATTATTATTTTTTAAATGATTTTGTATAAAAATATTTAAAACAAAAATATATTTTTATTTTTTTAATATTAATACATTCAAATAATTGAAAAATAGTACGGTTAACCCCCGTCAATTTCTAAACTTGGACCACACTTTAATCCAGATAAACAGCATCAAATCAAGCAGCCATTTCAATGCACGATATTCCATTGTTTGTAGCTTTGTTTTATCATGTGGCATCATATGAAAAGATAGTACCAACGAAAATTACTGATTTTGATTGATGTTTGCTGTTTTGGGACAGTGCCCTTGGTGGATCCACAAATGTATACTAGAAATTCACCAAAATAATTCAAAGATAAGTGAATTTTCTTACATTATCCACCTCTTCCAGTTACTCGTATTTCATCCTCAACTACCTAGAATGTGTCCAACTACTGTTTTGTCTTTCCTTTTAAGGCAATAACTTCACAAGATCTTATATTAAAATCATTGAAGATGTACCAATATATATATATATATATTAGTGTCGGTTCAAATTTAAGAAAAGAATGTATAAAATTTAAACTAAAAAAGAATTTAATCTTAGTATAAGAAAACAAATTCAAAAAACACTCTTGATTCGAAATTAAAAAAAAAAAATCTACCTTCAAGGAAATAAACTTTATGCATATGTTAGAAAACTTGATTTAATATATTCTAAAATGTATCATGGCTAGTTTATTAAAATATGTGAGAAAATCTTTCAAAGTGAGAAAGGAAAATGAGTAAGTGTAATTAAGTGTCTCCATTAAATCAAAAAAATATATATGTATACAAGTGATTCTCTATAATCACGGGCTAACAGCATCTATCTAAAGCTGGAAGCCATTTCTAGCAATAAATTTGTGGAGGTAACAACAATTTCATAAGTTACTGTTAATTTACCAAGCATGGGCATCCCGTGGCTCGACAAGTAACCATCCCAACTACCGGAACATGACTTTCCGGCCGCTGCCGCTGCCACAACGCACTAAGGCTCTTGTGTCCACATCTCCCCTTGTGCCACAAACAACCGAATGTCTTAGCAAAAACCCTTGTAAAAAAGTCTTCTTCTTCTTGTCCTTCTTCTGCTTCATTTCGCCAGTTTTATCACTATCCAATGACGAGATACTTCTTTGGTCATGATCAAGATGATCTATCTTGAAGCCATAAAATCTGTTGCTGCTTGACTCTATAAGATAGTCAAGTTGCTTTGAAATGCTCTCTACCTCATATTTATCAAGAAGAGAATTATCTGTGCGGATTGGACTCGGCGTTTCTGATCCCGATCCCATGGCATCTTCCTTCATTATTCTCGTAGCTTCTAGCTTGTATCTTGATGGTCTTGGAGCATGACGAGTTCTTGTAACATCAAACTCACAAATCGGCCTTCCTTCAGACCCTGAACCATGGTGGTACCATGCCCATGCAGCTGCTTTTGCTAGGGCTAAATCATCAGTACTGCCACCACCTTTAGGTTTCTTTTTCTCCATGAAAATGTTGAAGGGAGTGATAGAAGGCATGTGGGATATCTGATATTGGAAGAATATGTGGAAATATCAAGCTCCACGCTATAGATAAAAACTTGGTATTTCCTTCTCTACTGTGGTTTTGCATCTTTATATTCTTCAAGAAAGGTATCTAATCTCTTGAAGGATTTTGCTTGCTTGGCTCTATTCTGGTCCATTGGTTGTCTTGTTAGGTGGAAATTAATTGGGGTCCTAAGAGGACTAGTTCGTTGTTATGGGCGCATACCATTCGCGCTTGTCTACACACCTCGTCTTTATTACACTTGAAACCTTGTCGTGATCATACATAAACTTTTTCCTAGCAAGAACCTATTTTACTACACTGTTTTAAATTGCGGTTCAAGTTCAAATATCAGTTTTTAGCTGCTTTTTATTGGGGCTATAGTTTAAAACGTGGCATGCAGCACAAACAAACAATCCCTGAAGAGTTTGAGGCCCATGTATTGCCATGAAACTCCACTTAAAAGCAAGGAGTCTTGTTCCCATGTCATATCAATCTCATGATCCTCAACGAGTCATATATCCCATCTCATCTACCAGATCTCCGAGTTCAAGTCTCTTTCTTGTAAAGAAAAAAGAAAAACTCCAACTCGTGAATATAGAAAGAGCTTGTTGTTTTTACTTTTGTTTTCGATGAGCTGTCTTGGACTCCACTGAGAAGCCTCTCCCGCCCTTTCCAGGACCGGCGTAATTAAGCAAACATTCTAAGAATTCTTGAAATAACTTGGAAGAGAGGACCTTGCAAGTTCATCTAGCTATCCCACCAACTTAAATTGTTCAGCATCTGTAGGATAAGGTCAAATGCATGGGAGGTCTACTGATGATTAGTTTAATGAGATTTGATCTATTCAGAGCACCGACTTCACATGAAACGATCTCTACCTATTTATAGCCCCAGCCAAGTGGTGGTTCAACCATCTCTGTTTTTTCTTCACTGCCCTCTTGCACCTTTTCCATTATTGCTGCAAGAAATACAGCCCTTAAAGGCAGTGACACATGGTACAGCCCAGCGGACAAGGAAAGAGAAGAAATGGGGTGATATGAGGATGTCCATCCAATTTATTAGTTTTTTTATTCATCCACTGCTCATTGTTTATCATATAAATATTCATACTCTATTAATGAAGTTTCAGTTATATATATATATATATATTTCAGGTTATTTTAGGTTAAATTTCAAAATGATTTGATAATATTCATAACCTATTTATTATTTACTAAATAAAATAAATATTCAAAAATTACATACTCATCAGTATCCATCGAGCTGTAGACATGAGCAAAACATTTTATTTGCTACAAAACCAAGAAAAATTGTGATTTTTTGTTCTTGATACATTTGTGCCTCCATACAATTTCTTATTGACATTTTATTATAACTACCAGCTTCTCAAGCTAACAAACAAAGATTACATGAGTGATACACCCAAAAAAAAACACCAAAAAGAGTCAACGAGTACACAATATTTCCAGCATTGTATGTGAGGTACAAAAGGTTTTGGAAGCATGGTTTCATTCTGGCTTGAACAACTGGCAAACTATTTTAGGGTTTATGTTTTGAGCGATCATGAATCTCAGCCTCAACACGCTTGATTTCACCATCCAAATCCTTTAAGGTGACTTTATCTTTGTTACCAGCATCGATCATCAAGCTCAAAAGATGCTTCAAACATGAAAGATACTCGGTCTTTACTTTAGGGGAATCAGAAATTAACTTCTCAGCTTCAAACTGCATAAAAATTAAAACGTCTGGCCTAAGTTTGTATCATTTCCTCATATGCAATCTAAGAACCCTTATCTAGATAAGAGAAACATATTCAGGCATAAGTGTCGAGTTAAGATATAATATCGTTGTATCTAACTTCCTGCAATAATTGGATGTTTCCTGGAAGCCTCAGAAAAGGTTCCTATTCACAATTTTGAATCAATTAATCCAACTAGGAAGGAATTGAAAAGATTCAAACAAAACAAGCAAAAACGAAGACAGGTGAACTAACAACAACAAGACGCTGGGAAACAACGGAAAGTTCAAAAAAGAAAAAGCCCAATGTTTAGAAGTTAAAAAGGGACGTGCAATCTCGAGCCTAATTGGTAATTGCACTTTCAAGTTTCATGTGTGAAAATGAACAAGCTTTCAAAGCTAATTTAAGCATTTAACTTACCACCATTACAAGAAATAAAACATCAGAAACACAAATGCAAGAAGTTAGATGAAAGCCTGGAGGCCCAGGAAAGTAATCCTCACAACACTGAACAGGTGTTTTTTTTTTTTTTTGGTTACTTTCTGCTGGCAATTCTTAGGTATTCCATAAGAAGTTGCATATCCCTAATATATGAATTTTGGGGAAATTCCCCGCAAATGAGATCAGTTTCACTATTGACCCAAAAATTCACCAAGTCATTGCTTAGAACGTGTATCATTTCATTTTCTTTCGATATGCCTTACAGGTAGGGTCTATCAAGATGATAACATATCCCAAATTGAGATTTGGAATTGAAAATCAGATTTTGCAAAAAAGGTAACAAAATAAATAACCATTAAATTTCACATGACATTCCTTAGTTCTTTTTACCAGGTAAATGCTATACCTGTTGATATCTGGCTAGCTTCCTACCTGGAAAGTAGAGCAACGGGCTCATTTCTCATCCTAACAGGTTTTAGGCCATTATCTCTTCTTCAGCAATCACTAGTTTTGGTATACAAGAACAATGATACCTATACCAGAAAACTTCCAGCCTACCACGCTGGACACAATTGAATTAAAGTCATATCTTTGGCAACATCTGGATTAACTTGCACAAATGAAAATGGCCGCACAGACAAAAAAGAAAAGGACAGAAACCAAGCAGATCTCAAAGGTTTTAAAAAAACCAAATGCTAGACATCCACAACTTCACAAAAGTTGAATCTCCCATGAATTGCAAAACATACCTCTTTGTAAGAAGAAATGCATTGCAAAAGGACATTTTCAGCTTCAACGTTGGGTAAATGATCTCCCTGTTTTACAAATTAAGCAAAAAGTAGTTTAGCAAAGTGAAATAAATTAATTAGACAAGGAAATTTGAGGAAAATAAATTAGAAAGCAGCAGGCTTTAGGATTTAATTATGAGCTCGAAGAACTAGAATTCTAGTATTGCTTCAAGTATTTTCATCTTCCACTGTTCATTCAAGGACATCATGTTTCCCAATTTAAGATATTGAGATGCAAAAAAAAAAATGCTTCAGTATAAAATTAGCTCGTGGAAAATTATATCGAAAGAAATTTTTTTAAATCATTAAAAGAATCAGGTTTGTGAAAAGTTAAACACCATAGCTCTTCCTATATGTTTGGATATTCACTGGAGGAGAACACCTTATTGTGAGATGTTTACAGGTTTCATTATACTGGTGGTCAGGGATGACCAAAGATTCCCAAGCTCTACAAGGATTAAAGGTGGATTATAAAGAGCATTGAAATATTCTTTCTTACAAAATAATCATAACCGCTTGGAGGACAAATCTGGTTCCCAATCTGGTTCTTTGTTCTCAAGGAAACATGACACGTAAGAAAAAATGAATAGCATTAAAGTCAACCAAAAAGAAATTTTGGAGGACGAAGAACTTCTAGTTTAGGACTAATCGTGCGAACATATTTTTTTTGTTGTTCAAGAGTTTGCGTAATGCTGCAGGAAATTCTAGTCGAGATCTACACAAAAATCAATTTCCACTTGGGGTGGAATTGAGGGAAGAAGCTGGGATCTTTTAAATTAAAAAATATGGAGAGAAAAAGGCATATGGGACGCACCATAACATCAATATGAATCCAAATAGACACATTATTTCTATATCTTTTCTAGAATTATTTGACACTTCATAGCATAGATCCCGGAAATTTAACTTCACAAGCATTTTATGCGTGCACTTGTCAAAACATTAGTCATAGAACATCTATGCATGTTACCTTTGATAGTAAATGTACCATACTATATGAAAGAAGTACGTGAAAAAAAGGTGGGAAATGTGCCTTGTTAATAGGCACTTTTGGTGCAACAGGGTACTCAAGGGGGAAGAGAAACAGAAAAACAGAAAATTGGCACAGGACAGCATGCCTCATTGATGGCAGTTTTGGCGTGTGCTTGCATCTACTTTACGAGAACCCTACCAAAAATTAACACTAAGAATTGAGCATCTCTTTGTATGTTGTGTCTTTTCTGGTGCAACTTAAAAATAACTTTTGAAATGGAACTGCTATGCTTCTACATGTTATAGAAAGTAACAGAACAACCCTGTTTAACATCACATGAATATCCAACAATTCTGTGTAAGTTTGTATTCTGCAGTAAAAATAAAGGAGAAACTTCAAAATTTCATCATTAACCAATAGGATTTTTAGGACTGACCTGTGACTCCAGTAACTCTTGTTTTGTAGTCTCCACAAGTCCGAGAGTATCCAGTGATTGCAACTGCAAGCAAAATGAAATTTCCTGTTGTTTCCATTTTGAACAACTGGATTCTAGCCACCATGTGCAATATGTCACAAGATAACTCATAAAGTTAACATGAATTAAGAATTCAAAATGATTCACCCCGAGCTATTTTGTCTTGCATTTTAGATGTTCGAGGTAACAGATCATAATTTGTCCTTTCAATAAATGCAATAAAATGTTCTCAAGACTTTCAGAGGAAGAAGAGAAACTGGAGGTCACGATCCAGCATTTGATTGCTAAAAAAGAGGATTGATCCCAAAAACTCAGTTGCTTGCTTCAGCGCTATCTTTCAGATTTGAATGATTACTTAATTAGCCTTTCTTCTTTGATCATGGATACAGGTTCACTGCATAATTTTGCAATGTCTTCTCCAAATTCTCTTTTCATTTTTTATTTTATTTTTTTAGAAATAAAATGCCTGTAATCGACAGAAACTTGTATTCGGTGAAAGAGGAAATAAGTGCTACCTCTTTACCTTGACGAGTGAACTGGAATGAATAAAAAACAAGATTTTGAAAAGCAAGTGCGTAACTCGAAATGAAAATGGGTGATAATAAAAACAAAGAAAGGCTAAATGCTAGTGATAGAAAGAACAGAATAAAATAGGAAACATGAAAGCAAAAACAACGAAGTTCAAAAAAACATAGGGTCAATAACTTAAACAGTTTGCAATTTGATAAAGGCCAGCATTTCTCAAGTTCATGAGAAGACTCTTCTTCTACATATAACTTCACTTGAGATAAATTTTAAAAATTTCCAGAATGTCACCTCTAAATTCAAACATTAAATTAAACTATGCCAGAATCCACAATTGGCTTACAAACAGTTCCCTTTGATGCACCTCATACTTACGTTTCTGCAGAGATGATAATCAAGGGAAGTAAACTAGGACAGAAATTACAATGGCCCCACATATGCTGGTGATGGAATGACCATAGAGTACCCCACTACCCTGGTGGTCAACATAGAACCAGATTTTCATGTGTCTTGGTGAGATCTTATAAATAAAATAAATTAAAAATAAAAATAAAATAGACAATAATAGTATTTTCATGTGTCATGGTGAGATCTTAAAAATAAAATAAAGTAAAAATAAAAATAGACATTAATAGTAATGCCACGAGATGAATGCCATGAGATGATTCTTGTAGGTTATGAATATATGATTTTAGTTCTTCATTATCCAGAGAAAGCAGTTCCTCAGGGACAAATTAATAGAAACTCCAATATAATCACTCTGAGTTCAAAGTTTTCACTTTCCATAATTCATGAAGAAGTATGATACCCAGCTTTGCACAATTTTTGGTCTGTGAGTGCAATAGAGAAAGTACAAAATAAAAACAAACTTTAATTATATGTAAACCTTCTGCTTCATTATTAACAGAAGTAACAAATCATAATAACTTTAAAAAAGGATGTTTGATCAAATATCAAAGAACAAGAGCATTAGCTCTTGGATGACAACATTTGCCTTGACTAAGCATGCAAGCATTCAGAATGAGAGGAACTGACCAGTATGACCAATGCCGCATGCCCCTCTCTTTTCATTTCAGATGCTCCATTCTTC